TTACCTCAAAGTCACCTAATTATTTCTTATATAGGCTGTTCCAACCAGATTGTTAGGCCGTCGCACCGCTCAAATTTTTCAAGAGAACAAAGAATTTTATCAGTGAAGTGATATATCATGTCGAAAAAATAAACAGTGGGTTGTGTACACAAACTGTGATTGGCATTACCTTGTCAATGAACGATTCATCTGCAGTTAGTCAGCCACAACGTAGGACCAGGCACATATATGCATCGGTCCTCATTAGCACAACAAGATGAACACCAAATTCATAGAAACAGATGTTTTATTGGTGGCAATATATAAAAAGATTTCGTATAATGATTTGATGCAGTGGTAAAGAATTACATCGTAGAAAGAAAGGTATAAAGTAATCTCATGATTTAAGAGAAGATAAACAGTATATACACCCACGTCATTGTAATCGATTCTGAGCCATGTCAACAACAGTCTCCAACTATTGATGACGACAGTCATGCGGACCACAACCAAGTAGTTTTCATCCACCAACATGACTCAGACTAGAGGTTAGCGTCTTCAAGCACTGATGCCACGTTTTGGTTTGGCCGCCCCTAACTTTCTTCCATTAGTCTCCATTACTAGTCAGCATTGTGCGTCGTGGTAACCGGTGTTCAGGCATAGGTAATGCGTGGCCCAACCGTCTTAGTCGATGAAGATTTACAACCTCATAAACTAATTTACCATCATTACCTAATATCCTGCGTCTAACCTCACATTCCCCTACCCGGTGATCCCAGAAGATGCCGGCAATATTTCTAGGGAATCTGTGGTCAAATACTTGTAGCTTACAAGTATCATCAACTCTTAATGGCCACGTTTCGTAGCCGTAAAGTAAAACGGAATGAACTGCCGCTCAGCATACCCGTCCTTCTATTGATAGGCGGATATCTCGCCTTCGCCATAGATGACGTAATTTAGCAAAAGCCAAACGAGCTTTTCGAATCCATGCTGAGATTTCGTCAGACATCAACCCATTAGGGCTGGTTAGACTACAAGATAAGTGAAATTGTCAACGCGTTCGACTACTTCACTGCCTATCTTTGGTTCAAGTGTTTACGCAGGCTAGTACTGGAGCAACAACTTGCATTTAGAGGGAGAGAAGCGCATTCCAAACATTCTGGCATTGTTGCTCAGTGCTACCAAAAGACTCTGCACTTAACCAGCGTCTTCACCAAACAGGACTATGTCATCTGCGTATTCTAAGTCGATAAGTGGACGTCCTGGAAGAAGATCAATACCCGAGAATTCAGTCGATGTGAGCGTTATTTCCTTCAGTAAGTCTGTGATGAAGTCGAACAAAAATGGAGAAAGTGGACAGCCTTGACGGACACCACTTGAGGTTGCAAAAGCAGATGACAGTTCGCCATAAGCTCTAACTCGACTAGTAGTGTTTGGATAAAGAGCCTTCACGAGGTCTGTGTACTGAGGTACGCCTTTCAATTACAGACACTGCCACAGCACATCGCAATCTGCTCATGTCGTTAATAACCCTGATGAAATTTCGCGAGCGACTCCGAGTTAAGTGAGCAGTATTTTAAGGTACAGATGCTCCCAGCTTGATACTGCAGCAGCACATATATGATTCTCAACCTTCCGATGATTTTATGCTTGTCTTAGCCCAAAATTTTGCACCATTATGGAAACCCTTGGTTTAGTTAATTGACATCGATATTTATACGTCTAGACCCGCCGAACATAATTCTGGATGAGGGACGAAGACAGTTTGTAGAGGAACATCTGATTCTCATAAGGTTACTGACCTCACTATTAACTGACCATTATTGTTTTCAATTAGATCCTCAGCAGGCTGATGAAGGTCGGAAATTTTGAAGTATGATTAAATGTTCAAAGTAGTTTATATTTCATAATACACCTGACCTACTACTAACACTATTGTCCTGATTTAAGACATCTTTTTAATTTCTGAGTACAATATATACAGTTGGATCCCTAGTTCGTAAAACTTTATTACTATGAGTGACCATCAAACCAATTTTTCGAAGTCCTTTTACTACTAAAAAACGATTCATGCTTTTGACCTGAACGAAAAAGCCTGAAGTGATTTCAATGTTCAATGTAACCTCTGCATTTTGTTTTGTTCAGCACATCAAGTTTTGAGGTACTTACTTGTATTGTGGTATTGGTATTGTTTTAATTCAGTGTACTATATATCTAGAAGTCCATAATACATTTCTTAGTTTCATTGACGTATAGGTTAGGGATATGTATTCAGAACTATCCACTGTAGGCCCTCACATTAATGTGTCTACGAATAACGGATCTTACCACTCAACAAGTCTTTTTCACATGGTACTTCGTTCGTATAATATAAAAAATTGAGGCTTATGAGCTGTAGGGCTGCGTGTATTGATTCACTAGTACTTTAATAATACTGCCGCTAATTAGCACTGCGTCTGGATTTGCCCCGAACGCTTTAGAAGTCTTCGTTAATAAAAGATATATTTAGCAACTAGATATATAAGCAAGGACATTATTCAACTGACAATCCATCCGCTGCCTACTAACTTCTGTAGTTGTACAACACATGAATACATTCAGATCTCTGCTTGAAGGTTTGAGGGCTGTGTGTGGTATCCCTTTTCTAGCGTGCCCCTGCGAGGGTCCTGTCTTTTATTAAATCAGTTAATTGAACGTACAGACACCTATTCTGGTAGTAAACTACTAAAGTTGAGTACTTGGAAGTATAAAATGGATAATACAGGCACTGTGTTCATCCATGGCTTTTGGATTCGATGGTTGTCCTGGTTTTTTCTTAAAAGAATGGATGCCATATCCGAGACGTTTTCTTAGTACTCTGTACACCGTACGTCGTCAAGTTCATGAGTCTAGTCCCTCAGACTAAGGACATTCAGGAATGCACAGGTAGTGATTCTACGCTCTTTCCTAGGAACCTGAGTCGTACTTCAAACGGAATTAAAACTCACTCTAATAGTGTGAAATGACAAATGTGTTGTTTATCTAACCTAGTAGAAGTTTATCCAAATATACTCTTTCGTCCTGATATTGTGGCTTAAACAGACGCAGTGAACCGTGGTCTTCAGATTATGACTTACTGTAACCCTCGGTCCATTAGTTGCGAACTAAGGTCAAACTGTTTCTTCTGTTTCGTAATTCCATCTGCTTTCGTGTCCAGTGTGCATGAAAACAGCCTCGTCAACAAACAATTACATTTTATACCACCATAACATGCCGCCAAGTTCGGCTCAAAGTATATATATGTGTAGTATATAAAAATTTAGTGCTACTTGTCATATTTTGACGTCTTCGCTTTAAAATATTGTGAGGGATCTGATTTATGAAAGTTCGTTAAAATTATTTATTATACACTAAAATTCATGGATCTACGCAAATAGTGTCAAAATGACTAGTCTTATTTCGTAAAGATGACTCATTTAAATCATCAGACAACGACAGAATTGTTATTTGAATTTGTGAGATAACTTTTTGTCCGGTTAGTTTGTTAGCATTTATCACTGTATCTACGTATTCACACTCGTTCTTAATATTGCCTCGATTATGCTGTCTCTTTGACTATTCACGTGGCTAAGGACTTAGCAGGTGCGTTTAGCTGTTGATTTAATTGCTAACACTCGTACTTAGTGTCTGAAGCAATGAAAGATACTCCTAGTACGGGTTTGTCACATTTGTACATCGAGACAGGGCATTACGCCTGGCGGTCCTCCGGACAAATTAGCAGATATTTTAGGGTCATAATGCGCGTTAAGAATGGATGTTTCCTTGCGGCTCATTGACAAAATTTGAGTCTGCGCGTTGCAGCTTGAAATGTAATGCCACCCGGTTGCCTGAACTGATGCGGGGTTGGGCTCAACCACGCGGCTCAATAATTGCCCTGAACACTGAGTCACCACTCCACTATTCCTGTCTTTTTAGGGTGAACGACTTGTCGTATATGTCGGTTAATTTTTTGTCTATCACACTTCGGAATCGGCTGATTTCATCTAATTACCCATCACAGTCACTATTCAGGGTATCTGCAGTCCTCAAATGTTGTTTCTGTGGATGTGAAACTTTCTAAAAGTGGGGATTGCAACGATCTTCTGGTCCTGACATTTTCCATTCAACACTGAAAATTTCAACCTATTTCCGAATAGATTTTTTTCCAGTAGGAGTAATATTAGATAACTATTTACGTAAACATTGGTCACGTCTATGTATTGTATTGCTAAGTGCGAAAGTATGTGTGAGTCAAACGGGAACAACGCCAGATCACTAAGTCTTTGCATTTGGACTGAGGAGTACCGAAAGGTAGTTTCTTTACTGATTGTAAGTCGTCCTGATTATAGTATTAAATAGTTGGAGATCCTCACTGTCATGCCTCGAAACTTTTTCTGTTTTACTGAACTCAAGGTTCATGTCTTGTAGGTTTTTTAGCGAGGTTCTTTGTGCAGTTCTTTAAAATTTGATTATCACTTTGTTAACTTTCACTATTCTGATCTGAAGTGTTACATTTCGTGTCGATGCACACTTTCGTCAGGTCGTACAGAATTTATCACTAATCTCCATACTTTACAGATAAGACAATAAATGTTACCGAAAACATTTCCATAGTTTTGGGTCCATATTTCTGTATTTCCGTTATGTGAAAAAAGACTGGATCTAAGTAAAGACGATTATCGTTTTACACTCTTATGTATAAACATTTAATTATTTGTAACAGGAAATATGTCTAAAAACAAAACTTCATTAAGTGGATTCTTTTTAGGTTTATGGATCCAAACCGCATTCAACCCATGATGCTGTCTCAAGCTGGGTACATACTACCTCAACCAGGACTCAGCCTTGTCTCTCCTTTGCCTGGCGGTGCTACTGCGTATGCCCACCAACCATCATATCAAAAGTCATTATACTTTCCATTGTCGTTTGCTGGTTATAATGACCCTCAAGTTAGTGAAATGGACTTCTCCAGCTCCCAGGTCCAGAGCACTTACACTTCACCTGCCGATGTGCTGGAAAAAGACTACCAAATTGTTACTTATGAAGAGCTTGAAAAATTACTCCCAGAACCCAAACCATCTGGTCGCGTCGAGTTGGGTTTGCTTCCAAATGGGTGTGCTTATGCACCTAAAACAGCAAGTCGAGAAAATTACTTGTTATTTGCATCAAAATATAGCTATATATTGTATTTCACGTAAGTTTCTGTCAGTTTGCCTTTCTTAAAGACATAAATACCGCAACATACGTTGTACCGTTAACAGACATGTTTTCACTTTAAAGCGCTCTAAAGTTAATATAATCATTAGAAACATGTAAGTTTTTTCAAAAGTGTTCTGGTGATGACTACGAATTAATAACGCCGTAAAACTGAAACATCGTCAGCTCAACAAATTATTTCAGACATGATGTCATACATCAAACTCAACAAAATCCCTTAACATAGTTTTATTCTTCTACCTCAAAATTAAACTGGTTCACATTATAATTGCCGATACAACAACCATAGCGAATATGCACTGCCATTATGAATTATTCTGTTCTCAACAGAGACCATAAATAAAGTGGTGGATGCATAAAGAACACTGGGTACGTATAGATTGAAGTATAGGATATGCGCACACTTATTTCTTGCTAGTCTACACAAGGGAAATCAATCACAGTGCTACAAAAAAGTCCGGAATCTGACGACTGTAACCGTCAAATACAATTTAATAGCAGCCACACAATTTCTTTGTTTTAGTAATTAATAATAGACAACCTTCCTAGAGGTAAAATCTTACGGAACGCATCGACATGGTAACCATGGGTTAAGTTTTTCACACATTTAAATGTTACCACCTTGTGTTATCTCCTGCTAATTCGAGTAAGTCCGATTTAACTGCTCATCACGATAATCCAGTTGTATTGAAAGCTTACATACTTCGCATTTTGGTGATATTATTCCAATTTCGTAAATGTTGTTTTAATTGCATTAATATCTTGCTATTTTCTTTAAGTCATCATTATTTTTCTCGAGAAAACTTATGCCGGGATCAGACGTTCCTGAATATGCTTGTTGATCGACTGATTTTGCCAATCGAAAAGCTTGTCAAAGCTCCTCGCCTAGCAGCTCTAAATACTACTCATGAAGAAGTGGAAAAAGCCTTACTTGGCAGTAAGATTGTTTGTGTTGAAGATATGAATGCGGGAATGCGTGGTGTTCGCCGCATTGATGGTTGTAAGTTATGTTATTTACGTTAGGATTAGAGTTATTTGATTTTGTTTGCCTTTGACATTTCAGTAGTTCAAATGTAGCTGTGTGGTTTTACATACTTGACATTTCACCACTTGGTCACGGTTTCATTTATTTCCGTTTTGACAACTAGTGTAATATACAGCAGGATTAATTTAGCTTGTGGATATCACTTTTATATTTTTGACGGTATGCGCACTCAACAGCTTTTTGTTTCATAATTATGAACTACTGAACATTGTATTTCTCTTATTAGAAAAACTAATAGGTTCTTTGTTACCGGCATTAAATCGCGTTTTTATTTAAGGTTTGATTTAAGAACTTGTTTATCAAGAAACTTGTTACACCCTCATTGTCTGTTGATTTCTATTTTCCGACTTAAAAATAGGTATACCTTGTTTATCGCTTGTGTTGCATTCTTATTTCAGATCCTGGTCTGTCTACGAATCCTGATACTTCAATAAATGTGCAATCTGAGAGTGGATTATCGACTTTTACATCGTCTCAGAATTTAACCTCGTTGATTGGGTCTTTCTCTCTCCAACCACAATTGCCTGATCAACAAATTACTACTAGTCTTCAATCCGTAGTTGTGTTGAAAACTGCTGGTTCAGACAAATTCCGATCTGATGGCGTTATAAGATCTGGACACATGAATTCTGAAACAAGCAAAGAGCTTCTACAAGCAAGTACTTTAATTCAAAACCCGGTGACAACGAATGTTTGCATAGCACCTGTGTCTCATCAAATGTCCATTCCATTATTGTTACCTTTATGTGGTATCGAGAACTGCAGCAATATTCATATAGAATGTACCGGCACAGCGGGTCCTTCATTAGCACCTTGTCGTAATACTGCTCCTTGGATATTACAACGGCCTACAAAACAGCATAATCCATATTCTCGTGTTGCACATGTGATAGTTCCTCAGTCCTTAAATCAAACGAATTCTACAAATTACAATAAAAACCAACCGCTCGCGTGGGACTTTCATCAGCGCCCACATCTCCCAGCTGCGAACAGTACACATTCAAGTGTAGTACCAATACGGCGTCAAACGCATTTGCCAAATTATTTCATTCGTCAGACAGGGAATGTTATAGAGTCATATCCTGTCCCATTTTCAATACCACAAACAAGTAACACAAATCAACCTTTCAATCTAGCTGTAGCAGCTGCTTTAGCATCCATGAGTACAAGCACCAGTAATAGCATTAATCCAAACCACTATGGACATCAACCGCAGTATTTCCCCAACCAGTTGTTAACCAACTCTTCAAACATCAGTCCAATTGGGGCTAACCAACAACGACCATCAAATGCACTTTTGAATCACCTCCAAGCAGTAGCTGCCATGTCAGCTGTTGCACAACATTCGAATGCTACACCTTATTTTCAGAATTCTGTATCTCAAACTAATCCTTTTCATATCCCCACCCCTGTGCCATTGCCAGTGTACTACACCGCTCCACAGTTATCGTTACCATCTTCTGGTGCGCGGAACTCTTTACAGCGTTTACAACAAAATGTGTATCCGATGCAAAGCTATGGCTATCAGACAGTCCAAAACGTCCCAGTATCTGAGTCATCGGATAATCTAAGGTCAGATAGTAGATGTGGCTTAACGGTACCGAATCTCCCACAACATACAAATAACTTGATTTATCCTATACTGTTGCAACCACCCGTGCACATACAGCATAAGTTACCCACACATATGAATGGTACAGGGTGGCAGGTTCACAACCCTGGTCAGTCGATACGTGGAGCATTCAATTCAGTAGGTTTAACGCCTATACCCATTAACTTCACAGTCATTAACACTAATGGCTCTACTTCGGTAGCCAATAATGGGATGCTCAAAGAGTTACCAACGTTTTCAGACACAAAAGATAATCTTGATAACAATACAGCAGTAGATAATATGGTAAGTGATGCTGCAATAAATGTGTCTCTTGCATCTGAAAATCAATTGGATAGTGGATCGTCTGTGTTACCAGGGTTAATTTCATCTACTGAAAATTTTACATGCGCAGTTATTGGCGACAATCAGTCTCATAAGCTTCCCAAACAAGTTGAAAAAATGACCTCTCCTGGTTCGGTTCATGATTCTGAGGATTCAGTTAGTTCTGGGATAGGAGACATGACTGCCACTAGCACTGGTGATAATGACAGTCGTAACAATTCGTCGTGCACACCAACCGAACCAACTCGTATTATTCCGAAATCTGACTACGTACGAAACAAGTCTTCAACACGAATTAAAGAAAAACTTACTGGTACATGAGTCTCCGAAATGATGAAATTCATAATTTTGTATTATCATTAACTGAAGCTACAAGTGATCATCCAATATCATGCAGTCATTTGTTCCAAGTAATTTTACACAGCTTACTGGATAGACTAGTAAAGGAAACTCATAAGCAGAACATATATTGTGCTTACCAGTTATCTTTTTCACCATTATAATTAAAGCGACGGAAATAGAAACAAAGAATCATAACTACTGGCCGTTTCATCCTGCATATTCACGAACCACCGTTCCGGTCACAATTACGCTGTTCATTTTCATTACAAATGCTTTATTTTAAGTCGGGAAATACTGTGATTAGAATTCGCGTTACGGCCACTCCTATATGGTATCTAAACTGCCTTTTCTTTCATTTTGAAGATTTCTTAGTTACTGTTTTTATTCCACCCTGTTTGTATATATGATTTATTGTCAGTACATACGTATCTATATACCACCGCTTTACTTCAAGCTTCCTTAAGTGTTATCATTTTGCGAGGTATACTGCACAATTTACATTTCCCCATGCAAAAGAGAAACCAATTATCCTACCTCACCATATACGTATATCCCAGAAAATCTCCAGATAAGCGCCTTAGGTCTAGATTTTCGTAGTTATATGCAACTAGGAGTTTAAAGGATTAGAACTATACCGAAATCAAACTATTTGTTTTTCATTGACTTTCTAATTACAAACAAGCTGAGATTTTTTCCTTATCCGTGCTCTCCCTGAGACTTATTAATTTAAGCTGCTAAAGCACCTTGATTTTCCATTAAACTGTTTATTTTGAGATATTTTCTTCCTTATAGTGTTACCTTGCAAATCTTAAAAATAACTTCTTGGTTTCAAAGTTATGCAAGATATTTCATGAGTGAATAGATGTGCATTTTCTTATTGCGAAGCAAATCATTTGGACGCATTTTGTGAAGTATAAATAAATGGGATTTCGATAGAAATCTAAACTTTTTATTTATTATGTTTACAATTTTTTGGTGTGTGCTGCAGTTGTTTAAACAGACATACAATTGTCTTTAGAGTGTCAAAATCAGGTAACCGGGCTCGTACCAAGATCATTGTGGATAATTAACCAAGGTTTTCGTTACTCGAGTTTGAATAAGACGTGGGATCATACAGCGGGAAAGATGGTATTTTAACATCTAAACTAGAACCATTGTGTTTTTCAAACCGAAACGTTCCCCACATGTGGGCCCACTCCACGGGGAAGTGGATATGACTGTGATACTGAAAAACTGGACATTCTGGAGAAAGGACAGGTTGCTGAAATTTGAAGGAAAAGTAAATCAGAGTATGCGAAAATTGCACCGTACTTACCATCCCTACAACTCCTTTTCCTCCGATTGACTCAAGGTTTCCGGATATTGAGAAAATTTTCAAAAAGCGCTCACGAAGTTGAACGCGGTCCATCGTGAGGTTTTCTAATCGGATTAAATAGCGCCACTTTCAAATATAAAAGAAATTAGGAAATATGTCATTTCGTATGATGTTAGTGTAGTGTGGTTTTCGGGATTAATAAATGTAATTTGTACATGAAGTATACTGGATAATTAACCTTACCCGGTTACTAACCCTTCTCTTGTCTACAAAATATGAGGATTCTACGCAACCTCTGTGACCATGAAAAACGTAATTCTGATTACCGTCACCCAGTGACAAATCATCAGAAACGGTTCTTAAAAATAGGTTTCAAGGGAACCGTATCTGACTACACGCTGGATAGTTTTGAGCTTTATTCTGTGTAAGGTTATTTAAAGAAACCGTGGCAACAATTGTCGACCCACAAACATGGGAAATGTAGTTACTCTTAAAAGTAATTATCAGAACCTTATAAGGTAGTCTGGTTGACTAAAAAGGCGTATCTTTATTTTAACTACCGATGAAACTTCAGCAATAATAATACATGATAACGTCGGTATGCATGTTGACCACAAATTCTGTCAGCGAATTAAATCGTATTATCTCGAGCTCAGCTCTGCATGGGTCGAAGGTTCTCGTATCTTATATCACGCTCCTCGTCGTTGGGGTCTGTTTTGCTGAACACAGTCGTCATGCGTAGTTAGTCGATTTAGGGTTAGTCATGGTATAGTTAAATTTTTAGTCCGTGTTGTATTCAGTGAGCAACATTTGTTACTTACATGCAAATGTCATTATTTAAAAGAACGCGGTAGCCAGTGTCAACACAATACTGGATTACATCGTGATTACAGTCACTCACACTTACGCGGTTTTTTGAGTCACTAAGTATTATTTTCTACTGTATTAGTTTAGTAGTTCGACACATTCCAAGGGATGTCGTTTGATTTTTTTCTGTAGTTCAGTCGGTAATTTTCGACATAACTGAATTCAATTTCGATGTTTTGAGTACTGCACAAATGAATTAATTTCCCTACTAGACTCAGTAATAGTGGTTACTAATAAGGGCGACTATCAAAAAGGCACATACTATTAAGGGTGAGGATTGAAAGAGGAAATAGAACCCATTCCAACGAGTGGAAAAATTGTATTTCTGACATTTCGTAAACAAATAACCGAAATGAAAATCCTTAAGGTTGTGAATTCTATTCGATCTACTTTGTTCTTTTGCCCTAATGACCAAAAATGTAGATCTTTAAAAGAAGAGTAGAAAGATGATGCTCGACATTTCTCATTATGTATATTCCTGAAAATATCGTCATTCGTCCTATTCAGTGAAACCTAATGAACTATTATCCTGTATATTATTGAAGTCCGTGATAATGGTAGTCAATTGACTAGGTTTCATTTGATATTAATTAGATGAACAGGTGGAACTTATTATGCGGACCTGATGCTATTATTATTATTACTAAGTAGCATATGGTTGTTAGTTATTTGTTGTGTGAGCCAAATTATCATTTTTTTCAGTTAAAACAATGCTGAGATTTACGCTTGACAAGCTAAAACATTTAAAAAATTATTAGTCTTAAATCACAAATCCAACTACGCTACAATATATTATAGATGATTTCGTTGCAGAGGCGTTAGCGGTTCGTTTCGATTCTGAGCTATGACTGCAAGCTGTCACTATACCACGACTCAAACACCTAATTTCTTACAGAAACTTTATTCTGATTTTTTTAAAATCTATTCATCTTTCTTATATTCCTTAAGTGGATATTCGGTTTTATCATTTTTTACTTTTCGATTATTACGCAACCTCGTTTTGACCTCGAAATTAGCTACCAATCAAACTTTCCGACAGGCAACGCGGGTTAACAGGCGTAAGTAAGCAGTACAAACTCCCCACACTGATAACTCAGCCTGAAAGGGTGATTTATCAATACAATATAATAATTATAGATATATTAACTGACTAAATATGGTTGATCAGTAGGGAGGAACGTCAATCGAATGTAGATGTAAATGCTACATACATTATAAAACTTTTGTAACGCAGTTTAACAACGGAAGTGTAGACGTCCCACAGTGTGACTTCGGAAATTTGGTTGGCCGCGGCCACCATATCTTACTGATCTCTTGACATAGGTGTCTTCAACGTAGTTCGTTAACCCTGACTTCTTTTTCGTTCTCTATAGAGAATTGTAATTTCATCAAACTATCAAATCCAGGTATGACATCTTCGACTGGTATAAAAGCTAACACTGCCAAATTACGAGTCTACATGGCAAAATTTTTACCTATCATGCAACGTTGCTGAACGTCCGCTGATTGTTGAAGTTTTCGCCATATACACTGGCTCAGTTGGGAGAGACGACCTTGTTGTATCGCGTTTGGATATATTTGTCGAAATGTTCAATGTTCGTAGACAGTCATGATAGCTGACGTATGTAGTTCGTTTAGTTTGTTAAATATGTGCGCATACGAATCCCTACTTCCGTCACTCAAAACATAAACCAATGGAAAGATCGTAACAGATTTCAAAGAGTGAATTGCGTATAGCTGACCAAATAAAAGTGGTGAGATCCTGAATGTCCCATCAGTATACTAATAAGGACACTGTTCCAACAATTCCAGTATCGAAATCCTATTTTCTGTCGGTAGGTAATTCCCTCCCCTAACAGTCGCCCTATACTCAGAGGGTAAATTTAGCCTTATCAATGGACTTGGATTTGGTAAGGGCGCCTGGTTTTTATCTCGTACACGCCGAACTATCCGTTTCACCAGATTAACAACTGAAAGTTGAGTTGATACTACATAAGACAAACCGGCTGACACTGTAGTCATTATTTGATGTGGGAACTTGGCGAAGAAGCTACTTAATCTTTTGTTGTTGATTGTCTTTTTAGCATTTATATTAGCTTTATCTGGAATGACTTCGCTTCGTCGAACATTTTGTAATGAATTCACACGTCGTAATACTGCGCGACCTACACTTTGCGAAACAATAATCCGTATATGTCCAAATATTCTTGTTGTTAACTACTTTCTCTTTTCTGAAGGTGTAGCCACATACTATTAAGAAGTCTGAGCCTTTATTGCACTTCATTTATCCCAATTTCGTTCCAATGAAGTGTAGAAAATATGACCTAGGGTGTAACCCATCAGCCTAATGTACAATTGTTTCATTTTGAGCTGTAATCAAAGATTTCGAAACAAATAGACACAAATTCATTCTATATACCATTTCCACTGTAGATGCTTGTCATTAAGTCGATTACTATCATATTTTACGGTCATCTGAAATGACCTAACAAACACTTTTACTTGATGTGTTACATCTGTCTGGCTCCAACAATGTGGTGCATTGCTGATCTCACGAACCTGTACTTGAGTACTGGACTTAATTTTTGTTACTACAAATTACATTGGGGTAAAAGCTGTGAGGTGTAGTTTGTTTTCAATGATTTAACCTAAAGTTGCCCATAAAAATTACAAGAGTGAATAAAAAAAGTATAATTCCTGATCATATTCATGCTCCACTGGGATTCGAAGACCATCTACACATCGGTGAAAGATCGTCAGAGATAGCAGAGAACCATGGGCCTAGATTTCGTGCCAGTTGAGACTCGTCAGCAAGACAGCTGGGATCTTGAGGGAATTGGTTCTTATCGTATGATGTAAGCCATTTTCGCAGTATGAAACACTACCACCGAGGCATTCGGGCTGCGAATGTCCCTCTTCAGGACTGAGATAAATACATTGATTGGTTATTCAGTGGTGAACTTTGTTGTGCTTGTCTAGACCTTGGAGATAGTCGGATTCTCTTGAAATTAGATACGTCTTGCTGACGAGTGCAACCTAACATGAAATCTACGTGTAGGTTTCTCTACCGAGTACCTCCAACCACCTTTCATAATACTCTAGCACACGCGATGTTGAGTCACGTAAAATAATAAACATTGCCACATGGTCAATAGAATACAATGAGCACTAAGTACTAGCTAAAAGTGACAATTCTTACCACTTAGTGATTAATCAATTTGATTATCTAGGTGTCCTAACAGTAAACTGCCTTTTTCTGATCTTTTATCTTTCGAGAGCTGTTCACCGTAAAATTTACATTTTAAATACTGAATATTAAGGAACGGCATAGTTTTGAAAAACAGACTTACGTAGCGTACATCATTTTCTTTTCTATCCTGAAACAAAAAGAAACTTTTTTATAACAAACAATAGAGGATAGATTGGGCTACATAAAATTTATATTTAATAACTTACCTCTGTTACTCGACGGCCCATGTAAAAAGGCATTACTGTCGTTTGAATACCTTCGGTCACTTCGCGATGTATCGATGTAACTTCTAGACTTTGCTTTCGCGCCTCAATCCAGCGTCTTAAATGATCGGTTGGAATAAATGGTGGATCTTTTGTAAGAGAATATTTACAAACATTCATAATCTTAACAGATACAATATTTCATGAAACTAAACAGTCAAACAATCGGACAGAGATAAATAATTTAGAAGGTAAGATTTTCTTAAAATACTAAGTACTTTTATGCTTAATATTTTATCGCACACTGAAAATGTAGGAGAACGAGACAGTTTCGCTTTTATATGATCAATTTATTATCCAACTCTGCTTATAATCTTTAAATATTTTAAGCTGAATTCGAGTTCTGCTGAACTTAAATTAATCTGAATGGTTTAAATCAAATAAAATGATAGAAGTAACAAAAACTAGGCTTTAAAGAGATATCACAGAAACCATGGTCATTTTCAAGTTTGAGTTATAACGTGGATGCTTTTCTAAAACCAAATAAGACTAAGTCCTTTTACATTTTAATACAACGACAATATACTTTCGAAAGTGAAAAGGATGTATTTGTTTCGAATGTTTGGTCGAAGAACAGTTGCAGATTAATTTGGCTTTCGTAACATGTTGCAGATCGGGGATTAAGTTGCAATTCTCTCTATTTAGTTATTTAATGATCACAGAGATGTGCACAGTTTGTTGCTACGTATCTTCATTGGCTTGAAAAAAACCCCAGACTATATAGAGTATGCAAAACGGTTACGAGTAGAATTTTCTAGCTGCAAGTAATTTTTTTTACTTAGTGACTTCACCCTACTTTCGTTTCTCAATTTATGATTGAAATGAGTGAAATTAAATAGGGTACATGTGACAATGTCTAATTTAAGATTTAATCTATATTAAGGGACTAACAAAACATTAATCGTAACAATCTATTTGTGGGAAAGATCCGACAAACCGATATAATTAAACAAACCTTTATGATGCTGAGTGAGTATAATGTCTGTTTAAGCTGATAGATCCACTCAAGGAACTGTACAAACGCGTTAGTTAAGTTTTGCGACGAGATTTTACAAATCTTTTAACATTTCCAAAGTTACTTTATATTTACACAACTGTCTTTTTCATGTCGGTTAGGGCTCTGTTATTTGTCTTACTTATCCGATAAATTACACAGCAACATTTAGTATGTACAGATTAGTTCAAATGATTGTGATAACTTTGGACTACTGCGCTAATTAAGCCATTTCTGATTTTAGAAACAAAGGTACGTCATGGGTATCCATGTTTTAACTGGTTTTTTCATTGATGTTATACAAAAGGCCTCCACACAACCAATACCTGGACTTGGTGGAAAAGGAAGTGAGGCCAGTTTGTGACAAGACGCCACAGAATGAAAGTTTATTGTACAAAACTGTGACCTGTCGATCATTTTCAACTCTCTGGTTACTGCTCTAGAGTCATTGAAGTATTAAAAAATTAGACATCTAAGAGAAGTCATACAATTTAACTTCCATTATAGTAGAAGTTGTATATTCTGTGAAATATCATTATTTCGTAATCGATACAGTCAATTACTTTCTAGATAGTTGAAACAGATAAGACGAGTTGTGCATGCATAAAAAATAAAGGAACATAGAAAAATCGGTGCCGAATGACAAATCATTAAAAACTATTATTACTTTAACACCTTGTAAGAATTACCTTTGTCTGGAGTAGAAAGCAAGAATTCACTAAAATATTGATTTCTAATTGGCGAAACATCCTGCGGAACGTAAGGTATGATATCATCATGAAAAACATAGTCCATTTCTGTAGATGTTAATTTGTAATTCAAACAAACCTGACACTATATATATGGCATTAAATGCTCGTTTATCATCAGGTAAAAAAGTAATACCATGTTTTAAAGCAGAATTCTAGAAACTAGAGCTCAAAAACTAGACCATCGTACACAAATTTCAGTGTCGCTTTGATCCGTTAGAACTTGGTAAACATTTGTTTCAGATCCTTCTCCCTTTGGAGATTCATGAGACGTCAATTCTCTAAATCAGATTAGCAAACAGTAAAGTAAACATACATTGATTTCGTAGATTGTAGATTACGATCGAACAGCTTTCCCTTCCAACGCTGTAGCACAATACCACGATAACCAAATTTCTTGTGTAAGAATATTTGACCAGGCTCATATAAAGATTCAGAGGCCTTTTTCAGGTGACCAATTAGTTCTAATCTGTGGTTGAACATTAAAGAATCCAAGTTAACCTACTTAATTGGGCGACTGGGAGAAAGTAGGTACCTTCTGATTATGAATTCAGGAGCACGGAGACCAAAGGTTGGCATCAAACCAATACCAAGTTTATTTGGTAAACAAGCAGCTAGCATTGAATATAATTGTTTAGGAGGGAACAGTTAATGTCTGCCGGGCCTGTCAGTTTCAGCTCTTTCTAAAATACCATTATGGTTATTAACGATGTAAACATCAGTCAATGGTGTGCAGAACACAGATAGGCGGACTACAATAATGAGACAAACAGATATAGATAAGTAGTAATAGTTCCAAGAAGCGAAACTTGATTTAAACACCCACCACACTGTTAGGAGGAGACAAAAGGATAGGCAGCAATACATGAGAAGTGATTGAGAATTAGGTTAAGGCGACCAACAAAATCATCCAATACCAAATAAAAATTTACGGGGGGATATGAAGCTTTATCCATTCCCAACGGCTGGCCAAACTACTGTAGGAGTAGGTTGATAAGATCAGACGAAAATATAGGAGTATTGTATGAAAACGTTCAGTAATTACTGAGTATTACGGTAATTAGCGGTTATAGTAACTGAAGACCTTTGGTGTGAGTTTCGTTACAGCACAATCAGACGATACTCATATTCAGCTCTCAAACGTTGTATTCGGGAGTCGATACCTATTGGAAGGGACAATATGTGACCGTAGCCAAAGACTAACAGGTGCGAGTCTACTAAGCTGATTAGCTAGACGTTGGGAAGTGTCCTGACAAGCAAGCAAGCTCAACTTATGGTTATTTTGCCTTACATATATAGAAAATACATAACAAAATCGGGAGTTCCTAGTATTTTGCGTGTAAATGTTTCTTGGGACGGACTTGATCTCTCAGCTGACCGAATCGAATTGGTTAGATGGTGCAAAAGTAGGGTCTTATTAATCAATTCTATGAAATATGCTAATGCACATTGAACCCAGCAAGTTACCAGTATATCGCTAACTGTACATCGCTCCCACGTGTGCAGGAACAAAAGGACAGGAGTAACACTAATGCATGACTTAAAAGCAACTGTAGAGTGCAGCGCAGCGGCCGCCAAATGATTACGAGCTGGATGGTTACTTCACTGAGAATTCAAATGCTTTGACGAGATGTCCCAGTTTTTACGCTCCACCTATGTAAGACGACACTTAAAGTACCACATTCAAGCAGCTGGTCCATATCATATTGAAAATGCTGACACTCGGGTGTGTTCAGCTCTAGAGAGCAAAGTTAAGGGTCTTCCCAAACCCCCCAACAATGAATGCCTGAAACACATGAATTTTTACACCTCACCGTACTATAGAACGCGAGGTGACCATAGATTAGCATTCCGTATCTTTAATAACGAGGTCATAGCAAGAAGGTTCAAAAAACGACAATCAAATAAACCAAGAGTGAGGTACCGTTTTTCCTCATCGAGTAGTCAGTGATAGGAACGCCCTACCCGGATACGTGGTACCAGCCCCGTCGATGGGGCTGGTACCATTGATACCCATGGATTAATTACTGTGACGATGATTTCCGGTTTTAAGACTGACAGGAGAATTCACAATTCTAAGCAAATAATAAATATATATTGCGAGGGTGTCCAACGAGGAAAAACCCAAATGCACAGGCAGTTTGTAGCACGTACTATAAGCGTTTACTTGCAAGCACGAGCGATCTGAAACACAACACAACTGTCAGGACCGGTAAATGCCACTGAAGTAAGAACGCGGCGTACTGGCACAACAGTAATATATTGAAAAATTGAAAGACGCGGTTCGAGTACAAAACGGGAAGCTTATTACAAAATGGGTTTATTCATTGTTCTGCTTGCGTAAGACTTGTTTTTCTTCTTCTAGTACGTTTACTCTTTGTTGCCCTGCAATAAGGAAAACAAACTCATATTAGTAACGTCACATGTAGTGATTCTTAGTACCGTTACAAGTTGTCAGTTGAATATTCGCGCCAAATCCCAATCCGCATTCTCATTTGTTCATTTTCATAAGCACAAAAGTTGCAGTGAATTCCATGTTAACTGACAATTATTGCAATCGTTTTTCATTTCAATCGACTCATTATTATTTGTTTTAATCTTTCACAATTCCATAGTTTAGTCAAGTACTACTGACTTCGAATTCGCTATTAACTGTACATTAACTCGTTCTATTTGATAATGTCCTACGTATGCACTGAGATCACCTATTTCTAACCATAATCTGGAAACTATGAATAATTTATTGTAAGCAACATTACTAAAATTTTTTACTTCTCCCAAGCATTAATGGATTATCACTTCATATATATAGAAATTTTTACTTTCATATGTATTTTGGACACATGTACCTAAACTGATTTCAAATATACTGTCAGTACATTTGTCCCATAAAACCTATTGGTTTGAAGTACAAGGGGTGAGACTTTTGAGCGAAGCCAAAGTGATTTTGAGAGTTTTTACATAATGCCTAGGACCAAATGGAGGTTATAAACCAGTGTGAAGAATTGGAATTATGATTTTCGTTTGATGGTTAGGGTAGGGAATTAGATCTAGGGTTGTCATCACGAACTGATATAAGCTATTATGCCAAAATTCTATTTAGCCAAAAGGATGAGTTGATTCCACATCAAAATCCGAGACCTGGTATATTATACCTGAATGGTCCGTCCATAAATTATTGTCTGGCCGTGCAAGCGAAAGATTTGCATCACAGAAATCATACAGTCGGCCTTGACAGTGCCCAAAGCCAGAGAAACCGACTAGACCCTAACTGGACAGCAATAGTTAGATACAGAAGAGATGCTGCTGTACTCCGGACACGAAGAGGAAAATGCTTCACACACTCAGGGAATTGCACCAATGCTGTCTAGAGAAGCACGAAATGCACTTATAGGATGAGAATCTCGTGGATCCAGGATCAATATAACCTGTTCAGTGAATGAAATATTTTTGAGTATTTCACTCGCAAATCCTAGATGCTCCCTCACTGTCCGAATTCCGATGTGTGTATATGAAAGTGTATCTCCAGTTTAAATGTACCAAAACACAAGCGTCCAAATTTTTCCTTATTAGGATATAGAAATATTCCATCACATGAATCTTCGAGTTTATCCATATTATTCTCTACTATGCGACTGATACTTAGACTGGGGCTTGACTGGAACGCATAAACTACTTTTGCCAAGGGTATATCAGCTGCATATTTCTACATCATACGTGGTGAATAATAGGGGTTTAACTGCTGAGTCTTTTAGAACATCATTAGTAATGTCTTGAGGTTAGAAGGGTCGCCCGATTTTCTTTACCTGGGTTCGGTCCTTTAGTTTAGATGAGATCTAGTAATGTATTTTATCTGTCATACCGGACGTTTAAAATTAAATGGTAGAGAATAGTGTTGAACTTTATCGAGTGCTTCAGTAAAACCAAATCATGGAGTAACAACTAATTTCCTTTCATCCTTATTGGTTGTTATATAATCACAGTGCTGTAGATGACAGGTTACTCATGACATTTTGGAACTGAACTTATGTTGCCAAAATATGATCATTCGTTACTCATCCAGAAGAGTGCCGACCGCTTTCTTAATAACTTAGTCCATATTTCTAGACTATATGAAATTGTGACTAATCAGTAGATAGTTGTCGACGACCAGGTAGTTTATCATTGCCAAAAGAAAATAAATAAATCAAAGGACAGATTAGATATTTTGGAAAACAGGATTGGCAAGTCAGAACTTTAATATTTATTTGGATTAGCTAGCATTCTACCACAACTACTTCCGAAAGAAAGTTTTAATGGTCTTATCGAATTTCCAACAATATTCAAGGTGAATTCCAGGTCTGCTAATGCATACGTGTTTAAACTGCTAGCTACATATTCATTCCAATCACATCCAGTGAATGCCTGTGCATGTGTGTTGCTAAGCAGCTCATATAACTCTGCTGGGTTTCTTATAAATTCATCACTGACCTTTGAAATAGTAGAAAGATCAGATTGTACTTAAAGTTCATTCAGCTTCAAGCTCCTTAATCTGATTGAAGTCGTTAATATTGATAAATATTGATTGGATACTGAGCATAGCTGAAAAGTCATCTTAAACAAAGAACCCTTTTCGCAACTTCCTAACTTTGGATCTGAATTCATTGTGTCTGTTTCTATGTTATTATACGTCAAAATATTCAGATTTTTTTAGATGACTTTGGACAGACTTTCGAAAGGGGTATTAATTAGGATTTCTGCTTCATCTCACCTTACTCATACATGCGTCAGAATGCTCAGTTCCTCGAGTATATATGTACTCACGACCGTCCATGAGTATTGTTCGTTTAATTTGGACATTCGATCTCGTATTTAATTCACGTAACTCGCTAAGTCAAACATTTTACTCTCAATAAAAGGATTGATTAACTCTTCTGGTAATATCAAAGTAATCTCGAAGACTAATTCCGCTTGGAATCAGCCTTGATGGATGTTTTTATTTCTAGAAAAACTGATGGCAGGGATTCTTTCCGCCATACGGAGTTTGAGCATGATACTAGGGCAACTTTTAACTGGTGATGGGAACAACATCACATCACCCTGAGGATTATACGCTGTGCGATGTAATCTGTTAGGGATTAGAAGTTAAGACAATTTGATGAATAGCTCAGATTCCAATCGGGTTTGTAAGCCTGTTCGTGTGGGAGGTTAGACCCATGTTCAGAATCGTGTGATCCCTAATAGTGTAGTCAGACAACTGAAAAGTCCAGATTCGAACTGGCGTCCACATACTGTAGTGAAAGTTGAAGGGCAGTCGAAGATTGCTACCCATCGTCCGACGACGATGATATCCTAATGAGTACGGTCCACGCAAGTAAAGTGATAAGAGTATCCATTTGAATCCGGTAAAGGTCCAACTAGATCCAGATGAACATGGTCGAAACGAGCATTGGGAGTCTGAGGGACATTTAATGTGTCTAATCATCTTAGGTATTCGGCAGCTTACACAGGAGTGTGCCCACTCCCTCACGTCTTTATTCATACCAGGCCAGCTAAAAACCGCTCTCCTGTGAGCTTGGTGGTTGCACGATCACCTGGGTGAGAATGTTTTTACAACGTATTGAAGACGTTGGATCGACAATGTCTGTGCACGATTGGACGATCTCTACTCGTAGATGTGTCACATAATAAGGTCTCCTTATCCCTTCCCATCTGTTTAATGCGCAGTGCTAGGTATGTTGAATGTAACCCGTGTTGAAGATCAGTGTCTTATT